ACTTTCAAACCACCACAGATAGTTATTCTCTCTCAGGTCCAAGAGCTGATATTTCTTGCCAGGTTATCTTCCAAGACTGTGCAAGACCAGGAACTTAGAAAAAGGAAACATGAATTTATGAAGGGATCATTGTAGAAACCAATAAATCAGGAAACAGAATAGGCTAAACAAGGGAAGTAAGGAGAGCACGAAATAATCACAAGGAATATAGAAATGTAAGTCTGGCGCTGAGGCAACCTGCCCCCCAACGCCCACTGCCACAGACGGACGCCCCAGGATGAGGCAATTCCAAATCTCTGCTGTCCCAACCCACCCCAAGGCCTGGAGTAGCCCACCAAGCTGAGGTAGCCTGCCACTCCCAGCCACGCTGATGGCCCTCCCGCCTCGAGGCAGCCGGGAATCCCAGCAGCCCACTGTCCTTCCCAAGAGCTATGTTTAGAGGCCAATTAAATAGCAAGTGGCTCTCAGCATCTCTTCCTGCCTCAGGAGTGGTCAACCCCTTCTTCCTGCCCTGGGGCTAGAGAGGCAGGAGACAAAATGGCTGCTACGCCTCAGGGGGGCTGTCCATGGTGCCTGCCTGCCTGAGCCTATGGAAACCCTACGGCTTTCCTGCCTCAGAAGGCCTACTGCCGCCGCCATGGGAGCTGCCTTTCCTGCTTCAGTCTGCTGCCTTCACAGTGGACCCTTTGTAAATTGTGGACACTTTACACTTGATAACCCCTCAACACAGAAAAGCCGCCAGACCTCTGCCCAAGGAAGCTCCAGCAGCCCAGCTCCCCTCTTCTCTCCCCTCATCCCCTCAACCCCCACCAGACCTCTGTAACTGTCATTTCCAGCTCCTCAGCAGGATTCATCTCAGATTATGCAAATTTGAAGCGAAAAGACTGGACAAAATCCCGCCAATCCCTGGGCAGGAAAACTGATCAATCCCTGAGTGTCTCACTAAACCCCACCAATCCCTGAACGGGAAAGCCTACCAATCCACACTCTGGAAATCCTTGCCCTAAGAAACCCCATGTAAAGGTTGTGTCTGTCCAGTTCCTGCTGCCTTTTCCCAGGAGCAGAGGCAGCCACTCCAGGATTCGTCTGTCCAATAAATCTCTTATGAGATTTACTGCCTGCTGTGACTCACTTGTCAGAGGAAGAAAGAAGAAACGAAGACAGAGCAGAGTTCCTAGGCACCTAGGATCCTCAGCTCATCAAGGGTTGGGCAACCTCCGTCTCTGTTGAGGAGGCCTCCTCTCAGCTGTGTGGTTCCTAGGTTCCCGTGCCCCTTAGGATACCTTCCCAGACCTCAGAGCTGTGACTAGGATTTGCAGCCTTGGAGTTGTGGGTTTTCTGGACACCTTCCCACCTGATCAGGAAGGCAGGCCGGCAGGCCAAACAGACAGTAATACTTCTAATATCAAGTATGGTCACATAATCCCCTAAAAGCTCAGGGAAGGTACTTTATCACTGTCGTTTATAGTTGAGAAAATAGAGGCACAAAGATTAATGGACCTGGTCCAAATCCTAGGCAATTTGGAGTTACATTCCTAAAGGTTGTGGAAAAGGGAGATGAGATATGTGTGTGTGTGTGTACGCGTGTGTGAGGTGGGTGGGGTTGAAAGAATCCCTATGACATCATTAGTTTCATTTTGTTTTTAAACAGTGTCTTACTATGTAGCCCTGGCTGAAACTCACCGACTTCTTCCAGCTTCTCCCCTCCCCCCTCCAGTGCTGATCTTAACACGTGCATCACAATGCCCAGCAGTGATGCGAGTTTTAAGAAAGTCCCTTCCCAGCTACTGTCTGAGTTCATCCAACTCCTCAGAGTTCATCCAGTTTGCCACTTTCCCAAGGGTGACCAGACCCTCCCCTCGCCCCCGCCGATCCCACCGTGAAACAGTTCTGTTTTCTATTATTGGTGTTCTTCAGGCTGTTGGAACCAGCTCAGTGTTGGCGTCGTTATTTTATTAATGGAATTGTCGGGACCACTGAAAGCATTTTTCTGTAAATGTGTTGCCACATAATGTCTATCATTGGAGAGCAATTCACTGACTGAGAGATCATCAAAAAGACTTCTGAAAAAAAAAAAAGTATTATTTTATCAAGAAATATAGACTGCCAGAATTGTTACCCTAACGACAAGGACTTGTGGGAGAAAAAAAATGCACAATGTCAAACACAGAACAAATTTGCTAAGGGCCGTGAGTGACATCCTGGTCATCAACAAGACTGATTTGCTTTTTTACCTTCTAAGAAAGTGGGTTTTGCTTCTTTTTACAAGGTAGGAAAACCATTGGATCTTGGGATTTCAAGTCATTACAGCTGTGAAATATCTCTAGCCACAGGAGTTCTGGTCTTAGTGGTCCTGTGTGCTCTTTTAAAGACTAGAGACCAGACGCAAGCGATTTCAGAACAGTTTGGCTCACTGCAAAATTTCTCAAGTCACTTATTTAAGAAATTAGCTTAATACATTATAGCCAATATACTGGTTTGGATATACAAGTTGATAAAAAGAGTTCTTAAAAGTGATACACTAAGTTGGAGTCATAAATTCATTCTGTGGCAGAGTATGGATTAATAACACATAAGATCCAGTGTAAATCAGCTTCTCTGGCCTTTCAGTGTCAGAATGAGTTGACAAGCTAAACAATACAGCATCCATTCTTTAGACTGACTACTTCAACAGAACAGCGAAATGCCAGTCTTTGGTGAGCTACCCATCAGCTTTGCTCACTCTGGAGCTGATCCTTTCTAAACTTGAAGGATGCACCACTGAACTGCAAATGGAGACTACAGTGTTTTCAAATGCTGGTTTAGTGACTGAATTTAATTTCCTTAGACAGCCATGCCTTCTAAGCAGAACTGGTAGAGTATATAAAATGTTACTGAGTTCTGCTTGCAAACAGAAAATTCTAGTTTATGTTTTTGGACAGGATGCTAGTTAATTCTTACTGAGGGCCTCCTTATAGAAGATAAGGAGGGAGGAGGAAGTCAGGCATGAGGGTCAGGGGAACCTTTCAGCTCGATTGATTGGTAGTTAGAGTGCTTCTTTATACAGAACTCAGTAGGCAGGGATGAATTCATGTTGTTCCAGAACATAGATCCTATCATTTTTGTCCCTGGACACATGCTTTAACTTCCCCTTGGTAATAAGTTTAGTCATCATTGATAAACCATGACAGAATAAAGTTATCTTTTACAATCATTTTCCCTCATCAACCCCACAACCAACCTTTTAAGAATCTTGCAGTTTTAAGGGCATTAGACAGAAAATCTTCAAGGCAGCCTGGGCAAATTGTTATGTCCTAGGCAGTGTATTATCAACTTTTAATGGTCAGAGGGCCAATTGTCCCTAGACCCAAGAAAAACTTCAAACCAAAGCTGTTGCAGTTCTCATTCAGTTTCTGCCATAATACAATGTTTATATTTTATATATCTGTAGAATTTATTTATGTCTAATCTTGGTATTTTGTTCCTTGGTCATATGACACATTGGTCCTGCATGAACTAACTTTTCTAAGAAGGGTTTTAATATTTCAGTTTTATCATTTATCATTATTCAGATTTTATCATTTATCCATACCATTCTTTGTCCACCACCCTGTGTAGGCAGAGATAACTCCAGCCAATCTAACTTTGTTGCTCTATCTTTTCCTGGAGGGGCATGTAATACGTGGGCCCCAATCTTATGTCAGGTACTCACCTGAGCATATAGACTTAACCTGATCTCCTGCCAGCTTCTCTAGTTCACTGAATTTTGTTTACCCTTTAAAGTTTACTTTGTTCTGATTATCTTGTTCCTGAGTAAGTGGAGGGGCAGATGTTCCAAGAGTATCTTGGAGTCAGAGCCGCATAAGGAGGTCTCTGGCATCTTTTGAGTCACACCCTCTGGGGCATAAGGAGAAACTTGAGGTAGGTCCAGATAAAGAATATCTCCCTAAAAGTAGGAGGGGTAATATGCTCAGTACCTTCCTGGGAAAGCTTAGAAACAGTACTCTTGAGAGAGGGCATAAATGATTCGTAAGAAATTTCCCATCAATTCAATATCCCCAAGTTGGACCAATATTAAAAGCTACCCCAAGCATGCAACACGTGAAGACCAAGACCAACGGTGAAGGACAGCACAACGGTAACTGCATCATACAGCTCAGCTTTGCTGAATCTTTGTCAAGCAGCTGTGCGGACTTCACGACTTTTGCTATTTCCATTAGCTACGGCTATGCCAATTCTGTGATCACCAAAGAGTGGGTGTTCATTGCCACGTTGTCCCCAAAGCTAAACCTTCGGTGCACTGCAGTTTCCTTTCCTTATCTTTGATGGTGTGTATAGGAATGAGTCAACATGCGAAAGATAATGTAAATATCTGATATGCAACCTGTGATAGGGTTGAGAACTGATGCAGTAAAGCTTGGTCTTGTGAAGGATACCAAGGATCCGTAGCAGTCCTTAAAAATTTAGATTTCAGAAGCATCCCAGCTGCTCACCAGTGGTGTAACCCCAAATGTCTCTAGTCATAGCTAAACTTCTAAATAGCAGATGCAAAACTTATTTTCCAGCTCATTCTAGAGTTGTTACTAGATTAGGTTTTCTATTTTGTTTTCTCTTTAATTTTGTAAACAAGGTCATATGTAGTCTAGGTCAGTAGGAAACTCCTTAAATAGCAAGGGGAGACCCCTGAACTCTTGATCTTCTTACCATCACCTCCCAAGTGCTGGGATTCTAGACTTGTGGCACTATACATGGATTGTTTCCCATTTCTTTCTCTTTCTTTTTAACTCATCAATAAGTTTGGCTAAGAAAACAGTTTTTAACTTCAAATTTTTACATACACCCTCCTAGAATTTGTGTGTGTGTGTGTGTGTGTGTGTATGGCTTTCCTCCTTGATACAGGCACATCTTGATTACTATAGTACTTTATGGAGAACATTCTGTAGTTTTTGTGTGCACTAAATAGGCCATGGTAACTGAAAACCCTTAAAAATTTCAACATCACAAAAATCCACACATGAATTCAACAAGCATTTATTAAACACCTACTGTGTGCTCAGCACTGTACTAGGCACTAAGAGAGTGCAGCGATACAAATGTTACAGTTATCATCCCTGCCCTCAAGGAGCTTACAATTTAATTTTAGAAATAAATAAAATGTTAAACTACTATACAGACTGCTAGAAAATGATTACAGAGCAAGGTATTAGTAAGTGCATGGATTACATTACAAACCTGAAAGTTAAGTGCTCAGGCAGAACAGAATGAGGAAAGATCTTGGTGTGAGGTGAACTCAATCAAGAAGTGCTGAATCGGAAGACATAAAGGAAGTTGAGTTTTGAGGAATGCCAAAGCGTAGTCTAAGCAGAGAGATGGGTGGGGGCAGGGAGAGGAAGAGAGAAAGCAAAGACCTCATGAGAGATTAGAAAGGCACAGAGGCAATAGCTTTTGAAACAGTAGAAAGCTGTAGGAGGTTTGAATGTGATGTAAACACACTAGAGAGAGATAAAGGCTGAGGCAGATTAAGAATGGAGAACAAGGTTACAGGACACTGGTGAGAAATACCTGCTGGGGCCTGAGTAAAATTGAGATTACATGAAAATGAAGTTTGAGGATCACTTTATAAGTGTTATGTAAGTTGTATATACTAAAAGAAAACAGAAGAAATTATAATAACTTGAGCCTATACAGGATGAGAAGGCTATAAGGGTATGGTAGAAATACAAAACAAAACCTAAGCAACAACAAAAACAAGCCTCAAGAAGAATATGAGTGAGATCAACAGGATTCTAGACTGGGAGTGTGGAGGGCAGAAAAAGATGAAGATAAGTCAAAGTTATGATGAGAAACATGAAAGACAATGATTCTATTTTAGGGTACCAGCAATTAAGCAATGATATCTATTTTAAAAGACAATATAAACTGAGGGAGAAGAATGGCAAGTTTTGGTTTCAAATACCTGGTTGTGTAGGTAACTGAGGAAAGTTCCCCAAGCTGTGAGATGACAGAGAAGGTGGGGAATATGAAGTCACTCAAATACATTAAGTAAAAAGACAAACAGGGACACAGAAAAGGCGAGTAAAGGCAGGATATGAAGATTACTTTTAGTATAGAGGAGAAAAAAAGACTAATAAAGTCAGATATTGAAGAGAAATGATCTAAAAAGATAGCATGAGACAAAGAAAGGATTCTTGAAGTATGGTGAATTAGTTAAGGTTCTCTAAAGAACAGACCTTACAGAATAAATCTACATATTTGTAGAGAAAGGGAATTTATTAGAGTAGCTTACAGGCTGTGGTTCAGAAAGTCCAACAATGACTTTCTGTCAATGGAAAGCCTAAGAATCCAGCAGTTGTTTATTCCACGAGGCTGATGTCAGAACCCTGAAGAAGCAGGCTCTAATTCTAGTGAAGGCATGGACTTGCTTGCAAGAGCAAGGAAGTAAAAGCTTTCTTCTTTCATATCTTTATATAGACTGCCATCAGAAGTGGCCCCAGACTAAAGGTGTATCTTCCAACCTCAAAGGATCTAGATTAAAAGTAAGTCTTTTCACGTGAAATGGTTTAAGAAAAATAAAAAATCCCTCACAGGTGTACCCACCAGTTTGGGCTTAGTTAATTCCAAATGTAGTCAAGTTGACAACCAAGAAGAGCCATCTTAAGTCCATCCCTTGTAAACTTGACACACAATCATATCTCCTTATGCCATGCTTAATTTCCAGTGAAAATAGTAACCAGGTCATAATTACACCTAACATGATATAACTATCCCATGTACAATTGCAAATGCACTGTGTATTTAATCTGGTCAGTTTTATGCCTAATATGATAAAACTATCTCTTGTAGAACATTAAACACATTATACATTTTAGAATAACAACAATGTCCCTTGAGAGAAATTCTTTTGGTATTTCAAAACTTAACTATGGTAACTACAGATTAATATCTTAATTGATTTTATATTACATGATAAAGAAATTGAGGAAAGAAAAAACAAGTATCTGTGCAAACACATTCTTAACAAAATATGACAGAAACAGTCATGACAATTATAATCCTTATTTCTGCAACTGGTCACATGGTCTTAGCTGATACTTATAACTACCTTCCTCTATTGCCCATTCTGTATTTTCTCAAATGCAGAAAAGGCAATATATGAGGGGTGGGAGTACATTTTCTGCTGAGGACAGAGAGATATCCCCTCGGGTAAGGTAAACCTGTGAGAATCTGAGGGTTCAAAGTTCTCAGCTTCAACAGGATCTTCCCACACATCTCCATCCCAAGTTACAGGATCCTATTCTTTATCAATTAATGTTCCTACTTTAACCACTAACACTCTCTGAGCCTGGGACTTAAACTAATTCAGCTAACCTTGTAGTGAGGGCTTTGGCTTGATTTTCTACAATCTGAGCTATGGCTGTTGGAGGATTCTCTTCCAGGGCACTTAGAAGCCTTTAGACTGTTTATGTGCATCTGGAGCTGGCCAATTTTATCACTGAGTACACTGTTGTTCTTCACTGTATTCTGAGATCCTAGAAGTTGGTTAATTATATCAAGCAGTACACTCTTTTCCTTTGTCAATTTATCAAGAGATGCTAGAAGCAACTAACCAGCATTATCATTTTATTTTTTTCTACAAACTGTCAAGTTTTATATAGACTCATCAAATCTCTTGCCTCTCACAACTGGTCAATCAGGATAATCAAATGCATTTGTCCCCATAAATTTGTAAAATAGTTCAAACCATGGGCTTTCAGTAAACCTCAAGTTTCTGAGGCTTCAGTAACTGTAGGTGTTAGTAAAAAGCCTATTCCAAATACTTAAAGAAAAATTCATCCTTATACTTCTACTGCTCTAGAACCACTTGTGGTATGAAAACCTGTATTACTCAGGTTCTCTAAAAGAATAGAACTTACAGAATGAATATGGGATTTATGAGAATGGCTTACAAGCTGTTGTTCAGTTAGTCCAACAATGGCTGTCTACCAACAAAAGACCTAAGAATCTAGTAGTCCTCAAGATGACAACCAAAAATAGCCATTACATATTGGGAAAATCAACATTATGAAATATAAATGAGATAAAGAAGGGCAACAACAACAAAAGCCTTTATCCACTGGCTATTCTACATATATTTTAGTGGAATGCTGACTATAAAAATCAATATCTTAAGAGCTAAGGCAGAAATGGGTTAAAATTAATAATATATCTTAAAAAAATCAAGAAAAATACAAGACACACATAATAGTGAATAGTGAAATGGGCAAGAAGCTTACATACAAGGTTTCTTAAGACTGTAGATGAACTTACTACCGCCACCTGTCCATTTGGCCAACCTGGACTCTACTCCCTTCTCTTTCCCTTAGCCAGTTTACAAAGAAACATGTTTTATTGACAAAATTTACCTTTCTTGTACTAAAAATCAGTATCAATGTCTAAGGATGTTCTCACCGCGAACAGCATTTAAACCGACTTTCCAATAGCTGCAGTGGATCCAACCACACTACTGTGCGTTACTTTACCTATTGTCTGTTATGACCAACAGTAAGTCCATGGTTTCATCTGGCCAGTCTAATAATTTGGTCATCACACTCTAGCATCTCTGTATAGGGTAGAATCTTGTCATTTTCTGGCTCTGTGATGTTAGCTAGTTCTCTAGTCTTCTGTTTTACCATCTAAAAGTGGAGCACATAGTGATACTAGCTCTTAAGTTGGATAAATGTTTAGCTCAGAGTCTGGCTCATGGCAACTGCTCAAAAACAAACAAAAAATGTTAGCTATCATTCTGGAGATGTAGAAACAAGTGCAAAGCTATATACTGGTCCATGTTAGAATCAACCACCACATTCTTGAATACCTATCTGGCCTCATGGAGAAATTTTTTGAAACTGTAGAGGTTTCTCCCAGTGGTATGTTGACAGCAAGTGAGTGAGAGAAGAGCCATTTTACCATGCCATATCCTAAAGTGAGCAGCTGGGGATGGGAGATTTCAGAAAGAAAACTTTGACTCTATAGGATAAAAGTTTAATGAATGCCACTGACAGATAAGAGCTCTAAATAATGTCATATAGATTGATTAATGCTTGGTAACTTCAAGGCTAAAAGTGACTTCTATGTATTTCTTCAAAGATTCCACAGCCTTTTCTATTATCATATACTGTAACAGTGGGCTCTTTCTATACATGTGCTTAATTAGCTTTGATAATTCATTTAAATTTTGTATTTGTAATTTTGTTTATGTATGTCTGTGTACAGGTACTTGTGGAGGCCACAGATTTTGGATCATCTGGAGCTTGAGTTACTGAAAGTTGTGAGCCACCCAATATGAGTTTTGGGAACTGAATGCAATGGTCCTATGCAAGAACAGTCTGCAATTTTAACCTGTAGCCATTTTTCTAGCCCCAATTACCATCCAGGCTGGCCCATCTGCCTCTGTCTCCTGAGTGCTATGATTAAAGGTTTGCCTTGCCATAGTGGCTCCAATAACTCATTTTTAAATGAAAACCTCCTTTCACATTTATACCAGTATAACATTAATCTTCCCAATCATATTATTTTCTTTTCTCTGGACTTCTGCCAGAAGCTTAGTAATTCTGAGACTGAAGTAATCTGGTATACATTGCTCTGGGTACAAATGCTAAAAAAAGGGCAATTTCTTAGAAATGAAGGCAGGTGCTCCACAAAAGTTTATGAAAGGAGTGGGCATGCATATATGCACACACAGAGACATCTACCTTCTCTGACAATGCTTTCATCCTATGTAACTTCCACATAAGGTAGCACTGACACACAGAAATCCTGTCATACAGAGCAGGTAAGGCACAACTCAAGCAGGAAGCAAGGGTGTAGACATAGGCAGATTTACCTTCTTCTGGTTTCTTAAACTTTGGCAATCCTGTCTCAAACAAACAAACAAACAAACAAACAAACAAAAATGACAACAACCAACCAAACAAAAGTTATTGGGGCTGGAGTTGATGGTTCAGTTGTTAAAGAGTGTTAGAGAAAAGTTAGGAATGGTAATTTACATTAAAAGGAAAGAAGCAAACAGAAGAGGATAAGAAAATAAATAATAATAAAAATTCTGAGAAAGTTAACCAAAGAAACTAAAAAGATCCTTTTCAGGGCACAGTTTTTTGTTTTTTTTCCCGGAGAGTTCATCAGAACTCTGATGAACTTTGAGTAAGATTACTGGAATAATTTTAAGTGTGAGGCAAGGCAAAAGTTATTTAACTCCAAGCCCACTGTCTAATCAAATGATGAAACATGAAATATAATAGTAACAGATGGTTTTCTTGCTCCTCATTAAATGAGAATTCTAAGAATGTTTCCAATATTTGGAGGACTAACAGCACCACTAGAATAATAGTACTTTAGAATATGTATTTTAATAAGTATTTATTAAATAATTAAGCATAATTAATTAACTGAAAAGATACTACATTTTAGATGCACAAGATTCTGTTGTGTCATTTTAAAAGCAGTCTCATGACTCTGCACAATGCCCTGTTATGCTGAGAGCCACAGAGGTGAAGTGTAATGCCCGGTGACAAGGGGTGCAATCGTGTATCTTTGTTAGATAACTGATGGAGTGTGCCACAACTCACAAGAATGAGGACTCACAAGGGAGATATCTGACAGACTACCATTTGGGATACTGAAGACACACAAATGAAAGAAACAGATGGAAGATAATGATGGAGCTGCAGAGGCTATCTGAAAAGGTTGGTCTAGGCTGACCATGTAGTTAGCTAGTTTATATAGATTGATAAGAAACAGAGCAGTACCATAACAGGCCAAAAGGGATGGTGAACATTCTTTGTAAGGATTTTTAATGTCTTCAAGCACCTCCTGTCTCCTATGTGGAGCCAAAACTTCGATGGAGCAAACAGTTTTCAAACCACAGAGGACAGTAGGGAGGTAGGAGAGTCAGAGGTCACCTTGAGGTACAACTATGCATGCTCAAGAACAGTCAGGCTGAGTCTCCATTCACCTCTTTCTTTCCATCACTCCCACCACCATCATTAATGTGTCCACTTCCTTTGCTGATACAGGTACTGAGACTGGGGGTGGTAAAGGATATGAACAGATGCTCTAGGATTCAATGAAGTCAGTAAAGGTGCTAAATAAAGAAAAATGCTACCGTGCTGTTAAAAATATAGCATTGACTTTATAGAGAAATATGGATTGCTATCCATCTAGGAGTATTGTACAATAATTTAAGTGTCAACAATTTCCCTCTAGTTAGGGTATTAGAAAGCTAAATACAAATCAGTCTTATTGGGGTTGACTTGGACTCTAGCAGCTTCTTAGATTAGGATTTACAAGGGCATCTTCCGAGGTATGATAGAGAGGGACCACAGGAAATGGGAAGAAACAGAGAAGCTTGGAGGAGAGCCCCTCTCAAACTTAACAGCTACTCATGGGAAAGACAAAATATAGCATTTTAAGTCACAATAATGAATTTGTTCTTATTTTAAAGTTCTGAAAAATATATTGAGCTTCTAGAGGTTTGCTTTATCAGATGCCGCCAAAGACAGTCAAGCTAAACAGTTCATAGCAGGGATTGGGCCCAAACTACCCAAGTGCTAATCTTAGCTTTGTTACCGCTACAGATTCTGCCCCTTTTCACTAGACTTTCCACTACTACATGGTTTCGCTAATGCTGAATAGTGCTCAAACTACAACCAAAGCTTTCCCTAAACTCCTGTGGGTTCAGGCTTTTCTCCACTGTGGATTCTCTGATGTCGAATGAGACTCGATCTCTGAATGAAGGCTTTCCCACACTCATTGCATTGATAGGGCTTCTCCCCTGTATGTATTCTCAGATGCTGAATGAGACCAGTATTCCCATTGAAAGCTTTCCCACATTCTTTACATTTATAGGGTCTTTCTCCAGTATGGATTCTCTGATGTTCAATAAGGCCTGACTTCTGACTGAAGGCCCTCCCACACTCACTGCATTTGTAGGGTTTTTCCCCAGTGTGGCTTCTTTGGTGGCCAATAAGATGTGAGCTCCGCCTGAAGGTTTTCCCACACTCATCACACTCATAGGGTTTCTCCCCAGTGTGAATTCTCTGATGTCCAATGAGGTGTGAACTATGACTGAAAGCTTTTCCACATTCATTACATTCATACGGTCTCTCCCCACTGTGGATTCTCTGGTGCAAAATAAGGCCCGCACTCTGACTAAAGGCCTTCCCACACTGATTACACTGATAGGGCTTCTCCCCAGTGTGGATTCTCTGGTGCAGGATCAAGCCCGTGTTCTGACTGAAGGCCTTACCACATTCCTTGCAGTGATAGCGCTTCACTTTGTTGTGGATATCCTGATGGGAAAGAAGGGCTGACCTGTAACTGAAGGCTTTACTACACACATTACACTGATAGGGTTTCTCTCCAGTGTGGATTCTCCAGTGGCGAACAAGGCCTGAGTTCTGAGCAAAGCTTTTCCCACATTCATCACATTTATGTCGTCTCTCCTGTGTGGGCTTTCCCTGCTGCCTCTCTAATCTGCCCAGAAGGTCTCGGGCTTCTCCATGTGCAAGACCCACGGTAACATCCCCGTTGCACTTGGCAGGTGCCTCTCCATGTAGCTGGATTCCAGTAGATATTACCTGTTTTGAAAATAGTTCCTTGTTCTCATTTCTGGTCTCACCATCTGAAATAAACACGTAGTAATCAATCACTCTCAGTCATTTTCTATTTTTATACCAGAGGAAAAGGGGAATTGAAGTTCTCATGGAATCCACAAGAAAATACAAACTTCTTTATCCAAAATAGGGGCAGTTAAATGCAAGTTGATCGAGCAGAAGTGCCAAATAAAAGGCACTGGGAAAGAGGTGCCAGAAAAAAAAAAATGGTTTCCTGATAGATGACTAAAGTTGACAAGGAATCAACTGAGAAGTGTAAGTAGGGAGAGAATAAGAACCCCTACAAGCTCTACTTAGTGGGAGAGAATGCACCAAACAGTCCCAAAAGGAAAGTACAACTAGCTCATGTGACAGACATATTCCAATATGGTGGTCCAACGAGAACTGGAAGGTATGAACTCAGGGAGTACTACAGAGATGTCAATTTAACTGGCAAAATTAACAATACTCACTATACAGATAAAAACTATAAAGAATTTTGGGTTGGAGAACAAAATCGTTTCATTTCAGACCTCAAGAAGTCTCAATCTAATATCTATCTCTGACTTCTGAGTTTCTTTTCTTTGAGATTAAAGAATTTCAATGGAAATTTATGACTATTTGTGTCAATGTGTAGGGTGTTTATAGAGGCCAGAAGGCATTGTATCCTCTGGAGTTAGTTACTGGTGCTTATGAGGTATTTCATGTAGATGCTGGGAACAGAACTCCACTCTTCTAGAAGAACAAAATGTATTCTTTTTTGTTGTTGTTTTGTTTTGCTTTTTTGAGACAGGGTTTCTCTGTGTAGTCCTGGCTGTCCTGGAACTCTCTCTGTAGACCAGATTGGCCTTGACCTCAGAGAGATCCGCTTGCCTCTGCAGGGATTAGAGCTGCTTAGATTAAAAGTGTTTGACACCAACACCCCAAAAAGATTTACTTAATATGTATGAGTGCTTTATCTCATATAAAGCCTGCATGTCAGAAGAGGGCACCAGATCACATTATAGATGGTTGTGAGCTGCTATGTGGTTGTTGATAACAACCTGATTCAGGACCTCTGCAAGAACAGCCAGTACTCTTAACTGCTGAACCATCTCTCCAGCCCTAGCAGGAAAGCACTCTTAACCACTGAGCCATCTCTACAGTCCTGAATCAACTAAGTCCTCCAGACGGTATAAAGCTACCAACAACACAACAAACAAAGAGAAAATTCTTAAGTTACGATAACTACAGCTCTCCTTACCCAGGGAGAACATGTTTCTGTACTTCTCAGGCCTGTTATCTCTATTCAGATCCTTCTGTGATGGATCAAGAAGCCACTCCTCTCGAATGAGAGACACAGCCATGTCTTCGATCTTTTCCAAAGTCTGAAACAAAACAAGACCCTCATTTGGGGTCTAAAAAGGTTCCATAGCTCAAAACCAGTGTTGGAGAGAACTATAGTGTTAATAGAGGTGAAGAAGCAGGAGTGTGCTATGTACAGGGGTCTAAACAACTAGGAAGAAGAGAAAAGTGCACTAGATTTATTGGGGGAACCAAAGATTGGTTTGTTGCTAAGCAAAAAGAATAGAGAAAAAGTTTTTAAACAGGCACTACTACAGATAGATATGGGCATTTGCTATGATATTGTCAAACACAGACATGGGCTCTTAGTGGGAAGGAACACAACTCACCTGGAACCCTGCAGTAAGAAGTCTAGCTGTCACTTCCTGATCTCCAGAACTTCCTTTCTGGGAAGGAGTAGGACTCTGAGGAGTAGACATGGCTGAGAGGAAAAAGGAGCTATGAATTGACTAGTCTTACTGCGTGGTTGTGGGAGTTGGCATTCACTTAATGCAAAATTATTTTTATTTCAGCATATATTTGCGAAGGATTTGCACATAAAGTGTTGTCATCTTGGATTCTGGCCTATATCCATGAATGCCCACAGAACATCTATACTTTAATGTACCTGAATTTACATTGTCAAATAAACAAAGCATACTGAGTTCCTAACAGGAGCTGCTTTCTAATTTCTTCTCTGCCAATAGTATTATCTTTGTGTTTGTGTATAGTAGTCCTTTAGATCCTGATGTCCTAGAAAACTTAATATGAGAACCAACCAATCTCTAGTAAGTCTGATATCTGCCATGGCTGTTGGTGTCTGATTCTCACCGATAATAAGCATCACCAAAGTCAACTAATAGTTAAGCAATGTATGTTTTGGGCAATAAGATTTAGGACTTCAGACAGGAATTATATAATCAGCCAAAGTGTTTCTATAAATGCTTTCTTAGAAATACTAAAAATTCTTAGCCTTTTGATTAAGATCAAGTGCAGAAATATTAAAACTTTACTTATAAGCTGGGGAAGTAGCAAATGTTTACTGCCCCAGCACTCATGGTGTAGGCAGGAGGACCACAAGTTTTAGGCCAGAAAAGTGTACACAAAAACCCTGTTTCAAAATGCAAACAAACAAACAAACAAACAAAAATATAATTCACTAACATAAAACAAAGTATTATAAATCCCATTAATTGAAAAAAACCCAAACCAAATAATGACAAATAGCCCAGAATATGCTGCTCTGCTGAAAATAAGGTTTTTCTGAAAAAATAATAGGAAAATGCCAAAAAAGACAAAGAAACCAGAATTAAGAGGCTTCATCTGGCCAAATATGATTTAAGCACAGTTAAAGACAATGTTTCTGAAACAAAGAATTAATATGCCCATGTGTAAATAATAGCAATAAAAGGGGAGGGTTGAGGACATGGCTCCTCAATTAGAAGAGTGCTGAGTTAAGATACTTCACACTGCCCCAAAGCAACACAGACACCTCCACACACACTCGGGGCTGGGAGGATGGCTCAGTGGTCAAGTGCTTGCTGTGGAAATACAAGGAAATAAGTTCAGAATCCCACCACCCACATAAAAGCCTTATGTTTGTAGTCCCAGGGTTGGGGGTTGGAAGAGAACAGAGACAGGCAGATCCTGGGGGCCTACAGGCCAGGTAGTCTAGCTGAAATGGACCGACATGTTCAGGGAAAGACCCCATCTCAAAAAATAAGGTAAAGTGGCCAGAGAGAACTTGGGCAGCAGGGGTGGAGGCTTGGGGGTAGCGGCGGGTAACGGTGTTTTTGACGGCTCAAGCTCAATTGCTGGAACCCATGATGAATAGACAGATGCATCTCTTGAAGAAAATTGTTCTCACCCTCCAGGTTCATTTCTGTGTACACTAATGATAACAATAAAATGTGGGGAGAAACAGAAGACACCTACCATGACTTCTAGTCTCCACATTTGCACCCACGGTAAACTAGAATCACATTATAGATGGTTTTGAGCCACTGACTGAGAAATTACCATTTGTAGTTTCAAATTTAGTAATAATCACTGACTCAGTTGAGAAGCTTCAATAAAATAAAGTAAAAAAAAAAAAAACAAAAACATACCAATAAATATAAAAACTAATGTTTTAGCAACAAGTTTGATAAGGGCTTAGATATTTACACAGCTTCATGAGAATTTTCTCTTAAATTACTTCTTAAATTACAAAGGGAAGAACAGTAACTTTATACTGATTAACCTAGCAAGATTAATCTTAAGTCATCAAATATATCATCACAATAGACTAAATTTGTGGAGTTTTTTTTTTTTTTGCCAAATACACACAACTTGAACCTAAATATAAAAAAATATCAAACAAACCTAATTTGCAGCCATTCTACTAATTCTAATCTATGTTCTTTAAGATTGTTATGGTCATGAAAAGAAAGATTAAGAAATAATACAAAAAATACCAAATTAAAGTACACCGAAGAGACTTATGACTAACTTCCCAATGGTCATTTGGTGGACTCTGAACTAGAGAAAACTTTGGGACAGCTAGTAAAACATGAGTATGAACTATTAGGTTAGCACCACTCCAGCAACACAATTGCGAACTGTGTCATCTTAAAAAAAAAAAAAAAAAAAAAAAAGAATCAGCAAATAAAATGTTATGATACTAGCAATATCCTTAAAAAAAAAAGTCTACTGTAAATGTACTGCAGTAACAAATTTGAGAACTCATTAAAAACAACAACAACAACAACAACAAAGCTCTCAAGTTCTTTGTTCTTCCTAAGTTCATACTAGAACTGATGGTCTATTGTCCTCTGAGCATGACACGGCCATTGCCCTCTTTTAGCTGCTGTCGCTGCATTCGTAAGACCTGTGAAAGACTGGGCCCATCAACTTCTTCTGCAGATGGGGAAGGATCACAATCCTTTGCTTTCTATTTTCCTCACCTTTGTAAGTGAAATCTGGCTTCTCTCTGTCCTTTGGCTTCTGGGACACTGTAGATTTATGCATGATTGCCACGGGTTGGATCTTAATACTTGGAGGTTCTGGTGCAGATTCTGAAGGCACGACTTCCTCCCAGAGTACTCTGCGCCCATGTTTATGAGCGGAGACCTAGAAACAATGGGACAGCTGAATTACAAAGAATTCCTTTGAGAAATGAAGTGAAGGTGGTAGTAGAGTCAACACCTTTGACTGGTGTTCATATTGGGAAAGCAAGCAGTATAATGTCATTTACTTCCTGGGGCAGCAAGAAACACTATTCTGCATTAGCACAGAAAGAAAGCATTTACTTCTGCTCAGTACTAAATAAGAACTTTCTGTTGATTTTTCTCTCTATATCAAACACCATATTTTGTGATCCAACCCTAGGATACAGAATGAATAACACAGATAACTAAAACAGGGCCATAAAATAGCAAAACACTCTTTTGCTAAGGAACTAGGAAGTCTGTGTTCTAGTAAGCCGTCATCTTTAATCATCCAGGGAAGGCAAACAAACACAAATAGTTTAGCAAGCTGGGCTTTGTTTTGTGCTAAGACTGCTCCATCTCCACCCCCAAACACACACCCTCTGAACAATGCACCTAGTACCTGTTAGTGATCTAAGACCCCCTACCTGCATTGAGCTGTACCTACACCCTACTCTGAACAGTGGAATAAATTTCTTCTTCTCTTAACAACCATGAAAGTTAGCTTGTACCCAGTCATAGTCCATTTATATCTGGGAGGTAGGGGGTCAAGCAGGCCTAGACTGATTTTGGGTGCATGAGCAGTAAGGCAAACTGTGTCTTGTGGGTAAACGAAGAACCATCTAACATCTAACCATGCTAACACCATGCCTGCTAGCAACCAAACGCTTCTTTCTCTAGAATCCCATAAGCGGAAGCTCCCAATAATTGGGGCTCTTGAGTATACTCAAGTGGCCTGTCACTCTTGACTGTATTTCTTGCTTTGTGCTATTGTTCTGCCATTGTATAGTGTCTCCTTGCTATTTGTACAATTTGTGTGTCTTTATTTCAATTCCTTAAGAGGCCAAAACTATGGAAACACCTGGTCCAAACCCTGACCACTGGTCTTATGGGTACCCCAGAAAAACAGTAATGTAAGCGTCTTGCATATCATGGTCCCATTTAGCACACAAGGGCAATAGTAGGACTGTAGGTATCTCGTGAGTATAAAAAATGGATTTTACCCTTTACAAAAAAGAATTATTAAAATAATTTCCATCCACATTCATGAGAAACCAGCTGGGGAAAATTTACTCCTCAAAGTAGAGCCAATGTCTAAATAGCTTCCAGGAATTCAATCACAGCATGCACAGCTACTTACTGGTTGTCCTAGGACATTAATCTGCCTTTCCAAGTCCTCCAGCAGGGTCACCACCTCCTCACCATTCTCTAAGTGGTGCTCCTTAGCCAGCGCCTGCAGCTCCTCCGGCAGGATGGTCAGGAACTGCTCCAGCACCAACAGCTCCAGGATCTGCTCTTTGCTGTTCAAGTCTGGCCGCAGCCACTGATGGCAAAGTGCACGGAGCTGGATCAGAGCTTCCCGGGGGCCTAATGTCTCCTGGTAGCAGAGCTGCCTGAAGCGGAGGCGAAACAGTTCTTGGCCAGGAGTGTTACTTTCACGCACACTAGATTCCTCATCCCAACCATGATCTTCCTCTATCTTGACAATGACAAGGTCTTCTTCAGGAGTCTGGTCTGGTGAAGAGGGGGCCGAAGGAGGCTTTCTTGATTCTGCCATTTAGGGCCAGAAAAACTTAAAAGGTTCCTTTTTTCCTCTACCTTCTGTATCTTCTTAAGTCTTCTCAGGCCTTCCAGGGTACTTCTTCCAGAACGGAAAATGATAAATATGTTAAGGTAAGGCAAAAGTCACAGTAACTTAACAAGTGCCTGTTAAAAATCTGCCACACCAATCCTACCCAGGGTACAAACCCTTTCTTTTGCTTTCTGTTTAAGGTTGTCGAAGATGGAGACCACGTATTTTCATGCCTAACTGAAATTCTGTATTTAATATTAGGTAATTCTCAGTACCACCCACTGAACTCCTTGTGGCACCTTGTATATCTGCCACTCTCAACTGATGTTAATTTTCGTATCTGCTAGTTCAAGAATCTTCCTAAGCCTTTTCTCTTCATTACCTAAGATTCAGTACCTGACTTATGTTCCCTAATTTCCCTCCTGTCTCAGGACTAACTCTCATACTTCATCTCTTACTCCTAGAAATCTATCTGGAACAGTGGGTCTGCAAAGCACCAGAATTTCTTATCAGTATCTACAATGCCCAAACCTAAACCCATATACCAATGACATTCCAGGGTATTACAGAAATAAAGTATAGTAGTGTTTTGAGTTTGACAACTTTCACTTAGTGGAAGACGACTGATATTAATCAATATTCTACCTGTTTATTCTTATACAAATGAGTATATCCCCCCACCAGGCAAGTTGTTTCCCGTTCTTGATTATGAATAAAGCCACTATGATCATGTATATACATGGTCTTGTATGAACAGTTTTTAAAACAATAGGGAAAAACCCAGAATTAAGAAGTCAATTGCTGATGGCTCAGTTGTTAAGAGCACTGTCTGCTCTTCCAAATGGACCTGGGTTCAATTCCCAGGACCCTTATGGTAGCTCACAACTGTCTGTAACGCCAATTCCAAGGGATCTGACACCTTCACACTAATGCACATAAAATTAAAAAAAAATTAATTAAAAGAAGTCAATTGCTGAGTCTTATGTGTTGTATCTAAAAAAATTGTTGAATTATTTTCCAAAGTGGATGTAATATTTTACGATACATTATCACTTGATACTATATTTAAACATTTAAATATAATAGGTGTATAGTAATGTGTCATGGTTTTAACTTGTTTCCTTACTAACAATGTTGAACATATATCTATTTTGGTAAAGTACCTACCTAAAAATTTTGGTTCACCTTGCTCTTGTTTTTTGACAAAGTCTCATTCTGTAACCAAAGATAGCATCTAACTTGTGATTCTCACACCTCAGCTTCCTAAGTGTTGGGGCTACCGGCACGCACCACCATTTGTTTCTTTGTATGCTATATGTTATTTACATATTTCCTTAGCTTGTCTAGGCTGTTGAGGCAGGGTCTTACCATGCCGCCCAGTCTGCTCTGGAATCCAGTGCGTAGCCCGCGCTGACCTGTACCTGGTGATCCTACTGCCTCCATCTCTCAAGTATTAGGATCACACGCATGCATCATCACTTTGTCCACTCTTATTTTGTAATTGAGGTTTTATATTGTTTGTATGTTTAAGAGTTGAGAGCTCTTCATATATTCTGGATACAGGTCCTGTATGATACATGATTTACAAATATTTACAAATATTGACTCTTTTCTATTCTTTTGACAGTGGCCTTTGAAGTTGGTATTTGAAATTTTTGATGCATAATTTATCAAAATCTTAAAGATTGTATGTTTGATACCAAATCTAAGAAATGTCTGATTAACCCCAAATCACAAAGGTTTTCTTGTAGAAGTTTATAGTTTTAAGTTTTACTTTAAAGTCTATGGTCTGTTTTGAATTAGCCTTTGCGGTAGTGAGGGTGTGGTTAAGGTCCTCCTCCTTGCACACAGATTACAATGTACTCCAGCACTACTCACAGAAAGGACTGAACACTGAACTGTTTACCTTTTCATCTGTCAGAGAGACAGAAAAAAAAAAAAAGCTGACTGACCATAAACAATATTTCTGGAGTCTCTATTCTGTTACCTTGACCAATATGATACAAAGCTATCTGAAGATGAATTTTCAAATGTTGAAATCAAGTGGTTCCAATTTTGTAACTTTTCTCTTTTAGAAGCAGTTTTGGCTTTGCTGGTTCTCTCACTTTTGATACACATATTAGAATAAGCTTACTGATTCCCAATAATGCTGGAACTGAACTTGTGCTGAATCTATAGCTCAGTTTAGAGATACTATTGTGACAGTACTGATATCACACTAGGAATGATACCTTAACACGGTTCTCCAGTCCATGAATATTGACAGCTCATTTCATTTAAGTCTTAGACTTTCATTACGATCAAACCATTTATTTTCCTCACTCTCTACCTCTACACATACTACTTTTCTCAGAACTGTACCATATTGGTTGCAAAAAGTTTTACTCTCTTAATTTCATACTCTTCATGAAAATTTTATCTTATTAATAGAATTAAAGAACAGCGGAGGGCTATATTGGCAGCACAATACAGAATGTGTCTACATTTGTTTTAAGAGTAAAGGTTACAGCTAGAACTCCAGGTCCACAGAGCTTACTCTGAAGGTCTGTTTCCTTGTGGGGAATATGGTTTCTGCTCTTGTGCAGATAGGCTGCAGTGGTGACTTCTCCTTGACTTTGGTTATACTTCTCTTTCATTCATGTTCCATAATGGTACTAGCTGTCTTCACAAAAGATGCCCTCCGTAGTACCTGTGACACCTATGAATGCAACCTTATTTGCAAATAGTAGGTAGATATAATCAAATGAACATGAAGTTATAACTGGAATAAGATGAGACCTTAATTCAGTATGACTAGACTATTGTTAAAAATACACAGGGGTCTGTGAGACCGTTCAGGAGGTAAACACCCCTGCGGCCAAGCCTGACAACCTGAGTTTACATTCCCACAACCCACGTGGTGGAAAGAGAGGACTGATTCCTGCAAGTAGTCCTCTGACCTCCACTAGGGCATTGTGGCATTGGCATGAACTGACCTTACTCATCCTCCCCAAACAAAACAAGACAAAAGTCTCACTCTCCAACTCAGGCTGGTTTCAAATTGGTATCTCCCAAGCTCAATATCCTGAATACTGCGTGCAATTGCAGGAGTGAACCACCATAGATGGCCTTCCTTCCTTCCTTCCTTCCTTCCTTCCTTCCTTCCTTCCTTCCTTCCTTCCT